TAAGTTGAGACCATTGAGAAACAGGCCACTTGTTAAGTCGGGCAATTTTCTCAAAAAGAGAGAAGAACTTGTCTGGTTCTTCCTCATTAAATTTAGGAACACTGTTGAGACATTTGTCTACACTGAATGTTGAAGTATTACTACCTTGAGCCAAACCTCGTTGTTTGAGAGTTTCCAGCTCCACCTCGAGTCTTTTGAGTTCAACTTGTAAGGCCAAATTACTTGGTGTAACAATTTCCTCTGAATTTCCCGACGGTTGGGCTATGATTTCATTGTCAATAAGGTAGTTGAGGACAGCCTCTTCTAACCTAGCCTTATTCATGGAAGAGCGGCCTTCTACTTCATAATAAGCAGCGAGGGATTGCCACTCTACCTTAGTAAGCCCCTTCAGTACTTCGGCTGAAGGTGAAGCCAAAAAGCTTTCCAGGTCAAACATGTTGAACTCAAAATCGAGTAGCGAAAAAAAATTAACCGTGGCAGCTAAGCTAACTAGCTAGCTAATTAATAATATCAAAATGCAATTTACTGTGAAACACAGCAAGGGATTAACCAAACACCTGGTACACAAGATAAGGGTTAACTCACCAGTAGCATTAGCAATAACAGGAGCAATATAAATGAACACTGTGAACACAGCAACTTGCATCCAAAAATACTTAGCGATGAAACAACACCTAGCGAGTAACAACACTTGATATGACACAACAATGGTTAGCTCCCGGACAGGCCCCCACTTGTCGCGATCCCACTACCCTTTATACTTGGGGAGTGAATCCTACCCCAAGATATTAACAAATAAAGGAACAAATAGGGAACACGGCAATAATTATGCTCACCAAAAACCTACTCAACTAAATGTACTTGAAAAAGTAAGAACAGTTGAAATAAGTGCATCACAAAAGGGAAGATAATTAATTAATTCAATTTATGTTCTAAAGGGAGTAATGACTAGCAAACATGAATTTAAGGGAATAAGTAAGTGTATAATAAAATAAGAGTGATGCCGGAAGGGCGAAAATATGCTGTAAGGAGTTAGACCAAACAAAAATTACTTAACATTACTATATTACACAAGACATACGAAATATATATATATATCCAACAATCACTACAAAATGATTATCCCTACCAAACAGGAGATACCTTACCACCAGGATCCCTTCCTAGGCCTAACTAAACGTGTCACTAATACCTGATACCCCTAGGGCATTGCAGAAGACTGGATAAAGCACTAGACAAGGGTCAAGGCTAGAGAACGAATGGACACGTCTAACCTATGCCACGGTTTTTTCGCTACTGGGGAAGCGTGGGCACGCCGAGCAGCGCGTCTCATATCACGTGATCTAGACATTTGCTGGATATTTTATATAATTAATTAATATTACTCTTGAGTTGACTTAACAGAGTAAGACAATGATGCATATAAATTACATACATAAATATACAATTAACCTAAGTAACTAAGAACAATAATAATATAATAAGTACAATTAACAATTTATTAATAGCTTGTATGAAACGTAGGCGTGAACATATGCCTCACGCTATGCGAGTTCCCGAGCGCCCAGGCTCGTGACAATCAGGACAAATGCCCCCTGGGCAATTGCTCTCTGGACAATTGTCCCCCGACGACTGCCCCCCTGAACAAATGCCCCTCATTGCCTGAGTGAATCTTATGTACAGCTGACCAAACACCTGACCTGACTTACTAAGTTTATTTTAACCAACCAGTTTAGGGATTATCCTTACCTGACCTTACCTGACCTAGCATACTTTGTTAAACCTGCCAGTTTGGGGAGTAACATTGACCAGTCTGAGTACAGTGCTTGAACTGTCCCCTTCAATTGAACTAAAAACTCAACACCAAAAAACCTGAAAATGATAACAAGACTATTTTCTATTTTTTAACCTTCTTCAAGAATCTTCTCATTATCAATTAATTGATTATCAACTTTTGTTGGGTTACTTTTTATTCCTTACCTTTATTGAGCGGCTCCCTCACGTTGAGCACTAGTTTGGTCCAAAATTATACAACTTCTTCACAATGAGTTTCAAGCTATTTTAGGGCAAGCCACTAAAGGTTCAACTATTTTATTTATTTCTTTATTTAGATTTATTATATTTAATAACACTCTCGGGCTTCTCCCGTATGTATTTACTAGATCCAGACACCTTGCGATAACTCTTACGCTTGCTCTACCTTTGTGACTAACTTTTATTTTATTTGGTTGTGTAAGATTGTACCATCGTACGATATGTTTTCCCATGTTGATATGGGGGCTTGTCTTTGGCAGCGCCCGGTTGCCAGTCACCAGCTGACGCTGTTAGAATAAAGTCTACTTAGAACGTGGTCTATGACTCCAACCTCTCACAGGTTGAATCAACCATACCCAATACATACTTGCCCATATAGTTCCCCAAGGGACGCCAGGGCTTCTAATACCATTCATAGTATTAGTAGAAACTTTAAGAAATATTATTCGACCAGGAACTTTAGCCGTTCGACTAGTAGCTAATATAATTGCTGGGCATCTTTTGTTGACATTTTTAGGTAATATAGGCCCTTCTTTATCTTTGACTTTAGTGTCATTTTTAATGTTGGCTCAAATCCTTCTTTTAATACTAGAATCTGCAGTTGCATTAATTCAATCGTATGTATTTGCTGTCCTAAGGACTTTATATGCCAGAGAAGTTAACTAATGTCATCATCACACGGACACCACGCTTACCACTTAGTTGATATAAGACCCTGACCTTTAACAGGGTCAGTAAGAGCCATAATACTAACCACAGGGCTTGTTAAGTGATTTCACCAATTTAACATAGATTGCTACTCCTAAGATTTTTAGCTACTATTTTAACAATAATTCAATTATATACATTAATTATATACATTTATATGTATATATATATATATATATATATATATATATATATATATATATATATATATATATATATATATATATATATATATATATATATATATATATATATATATATATATATATATATATATACTATTATAAATTATATTTTTCTTAATTTTCTATTTTTTGTATTTATTTTACTAATAATATTTTTATTAACCTCATATTTTTAAATTATGATGCCTGAAAAAGGGCTGTCTTGATAGGACAGATTATGTATTTTTTTTTACTCATGTTATCTATATACAATGGAATTCCACCAATTCTTTAAAGATCAAAACTTTTCGTGCCGTTTACACCAGTATACAAAAGATAAGCTAATCCTAAGCTAATGGGTTCATACCCCATTTATGAGAGCATGAACCTCTCTTTTTAATGCTAGTTTCTCCCTCTCAATTAATATTTATTTTGACCCTAATTTCAGGAACAATTTTATCTATTTCTTCCACTTCATGATTTGGGGCCTGAGCAGGCTTAGAATTAAACCTTTTATCTTTTATTCCTTTAATTATTACAAAAAATAATCAATATTCTTCTGAGTCTGCACTTAAATATTTTCTTATCCAAGCTCTAGGATCAGCTATTATTATTTTTTTGCTTCAATTATATTAGTTTCTCCCAGCTTAGCGCCACTTTGGCGCTTGCTCTTCTTCTTAAACTAGGAGCGGCTCCTTTCATTTTTGATTTCCCCAAGTTATAGAAGGAATAAATTGAATCCAATCTATTGTGCTCATAACTATTAAAAAATTGCTCCTATACTTTTACTTTCATATCTTACTTTTAACTACTTAGTTACAACTATTTTGTTTTATGCAATTATTCTATCAGCAATCATTGGAGCAGTTGGTGGTATTAACCAAACAATACTTCGAAAAATTATGGCTTTTTCTTCTATTAATCACATAGCATGAATACTTTCTGCTATTTTGATTAGTGAAAATATATGAACAATATATTTTACTTTTTACTCTTTAATATCTTCTTCAGTGGCATTAATCTTTCACTTCTAACAGAGTTTTCATTTTTCCCAAATTACTTCCAATAATGCTTCCCCACTACCTAATAAAATTCTTATACTTCTATCTTTGCTTTCTCTGGGAGGACTGCCTCCTTTTACTGGCTTTTTCCCTAAATGAATTTTGATTCAAGAACTAGAGGTCATATCACCTTATCATGGAGTTTCGTCCAAAGTGAACGTGGTAAAACGAAGCTTATTTATGGTGTCTACATCTATGTGAAGCAGAAAGAACTGGTAAATGGTGTTATATCTTATGAATGTGAGAGACGTCGGCATAACAATTTTAAAGCCAAAGTTAAAGTTTGTGGAAATGAAGTAGTCGGCCAGGTAAATGACCACACCCATGCTGCTGACACACGGCGCCTAGAAGTACTGTCTTTCAGGCAGAAAATCAAGAGGAAAGCTATTAAGACCCAAGAGACTGCGCAGCAAATTATTACCTAAACAGTTCAGATCACATTAGAAGGTGCCTCTACACAACTATCACTATCACATATACGACTTGCAATAAGATGCTACAAACAAGTTGTCGATGCCCCTCATCCAATTCCATCAAACCTCGCTGATTTGGTCATTCCATCTGAGTATAAGATGAGAGCTGATGGTGAAGATTTCCTGATGTATGATAGACCGAGTGATCAGCGTATGCTTGTTTTTTTCCACAGCCAAAAACCTCAGGCTACTGGAGAATTCAACTGATTGGTTTGCTGATGGAACATTTAAAATTGTACCTGAACTGTTTTACCAATTGTACACTATTCATTTGGCTTCAAAAAGAGTTATTCCTTGTGCTTATGCTCTGCTACCAAATAAACAACGAGCAACATATTAAGACCTTTTCCATCAATTCCTCACCATCAACCCTATGCTCAATCCAAAGACCTTTCTCATCGACTATGAACAAGCTGCCAGGAGTGCCATTGAAGAGGTCTTCGCCAACGCAACAGTCAAGTAATGTTTCTACCACTTATCGCTAAACATATATCAAGGTGCAATCTGAAGGATTACAAGGAAAATATCAAATTGATGCTGACTTTGCCCTGAAAATTTGAATGCAACCAGCTCTGGCATTCATCCCACAAGGTGAAGTGATTGACGCATTTGAGATACTGCAAGAGACTATGCCACCTGAAGCTGATCCTGCCATAGACTACTTCGAAGATACATACATCGGCAGACAATGTCGACATTATAGGCGAACTCCACGTTTCCCTGTCAGCATGTGGAATGTTTATGATCGTGTTGACGAAGATTTACCTCGCACCAACAACTCCTTGGAAGGATGGCATAACCATATGCAAGCTAACATTACTTCATTCCATCCAAATATCTGGAAATTTCTTGAAGTGTTGAAGATGGAGCAGGCACTGACCAGCATCGCCATCAACCAGATGATTGCAGAAGATCCAGCACCACCTAAGAGGAAGCGTTATCAAGATTCAACAGCCACAATAGCAACCATCGTAGAAGACTTTGAGAACCACCATGTGTTGGACTTTTTGAGAGGGGTAGCCCACAACTTGTAATTTGAGTGTGTGATATATCAGTTAATTTTTAGATATTAAATCTGACTGATCCACCATTTTTTCACCTAACCACAATTTGTTATCAATGATTTTTTTTTCTAATTACAGAATTGAAGTGTTAAATTTTTTTTTGAGTTGTGCATTTTGTGTATATAATTATTACTACAAATAAAACATGAAAATAAAGCATTAATTCTTAGTGTTACTTTCTCCTCTCTATTCAGATTTTTTTTTTTTTTAGATTGCCCCCGAGGGGGCTAGTTCATTGGGCACCCCCTTACATCCTGTGCAAGGTGAAGCGCAGAAGCGTTTACAGAGCCCATCTGGGAGCATGCTTTAAGTTCATGCTTGCCTTTATGACTCATGCATTAAGGGCATAGAAGCCTGAAGGGTCATGGGTTTTGTCAGCAAGTTACATAAAGAGACAGAATGATGAGTGTGTGGGGAAGTTCCCGGTACATTTCATCTGTTTATAGCAAAGCGTGGCAGGTCCCTAATAATGTTAAGTGCCAGGCCTGTCACTAGGAGGAGGGATATCTGGTCAGGGAGGGAAGAGGTGTTGGTAACGGCTGGGGACCTGTAGGAGGAGGTCATAGGGCAAGTGAGGATGTAGTGACGGAGGGTGTGAAAGTCGGGTTGGCCACAAATTTTACAAACAGTGCGGCCAGGCTCAGGGTTGCCAATATACTCCCACAGGTACCTGTACCCTAGGCGCAGTCTCATGTACATAATCTGTTGAAATCGAGTCAGGGATTGTTACTCTTTGTAGGAGCGGTTGTCGTCACCGGTTACAGCGTCATAGTGGCGTAGTGTGACGCTACCCCGTTGTTTCAGGTGTGTTCAATTGTCGTCGAATGCTTCTCGTTGTGAGGCGTGTATGTGAGATTTGAGATGATTCAGGGAGAGGGCGAGGGAGGCTTCAACATCTTCTTCTTGTGTCGCTTCTTTGGCAAGTCGATCAACAGTGTCACAGGCAGTTATTCCTATATGTGACGGGATCCAAATAAACTTGACAAGGATGTCATCAGTTTGTTCAAGCCTGGCGATGGCGGCTGGGGTGTGTTGGGTGGCAGGGGAGGAGGGTGATTTGAGCCTCGCTAGTGCAGAAGTGCTGTCACTGATTATAAGGAGTTTCCGGCGTTCAGTGCGAGCATAGGTCGCCCCCTCATGAATGCCCGCGAGGATGGCTATGCTTTCAGTGTTAGCGGAGGAGGCCCAATCGTGGACCCTGATTTTCCTGCAGGCCTGGCGCTGAGGAATCCACACAGCTGCCCCAGCGCTGCCCAGCGTGGTAACAGACCCATCACAGTAGACGAGGATAGGAGGGTTGGAGGTCGTAAGACAGGAGGCGACATCATTAATCTGCTCAAGGCAGTTAAGTTTGAGCATATACCACACTTGGGTGGATTTACGACCAGGGAAGGTGTGGACAACATCAACACTCGGGGAAGTCCACGGTGGTAGAGGCGGATGAGTGTACTCGGGAGAGAGAGAGGTCAAGGGGGTGTAGAGGTGATAACTCAGGATGTCAGCAGCAGTGTGGAGGGGCCAGTGTTGAGAGGGGAGGGAAAGGTAATGGGGACAGGCCAGCGCAGGAGGCTGTTAAGATGTGAGTTCAGTGAGTGCGACAGGGGAGTCGGTTGTTCACTGCGAAGAAGTTTTTTACCAAAGATGGCATTGAGAGCAGTAATTCGAACGCAGACTGGGAGCAGGATAAGTTCACGCTGCTTGACTTCTATTCTGGTGATCATTGGGCAGCCGAGGATGAGTCTCATCTCTCTGTTTTGTATTTTCTCTATGCTTTGTTTCTCGCACTGGGAGGCAACTACAAGGACAGGAGAGGCAAAATCTATGACAGCTCTGACGATGGCAATGTACATTAGACGTAGGACCCTGACAGAGACTCCTTTGAGGCCGTGGGTGAGGGACTGGTGGGGCCTCGTTCGTTGGCGGCACTGGGAGATGACGTGGGCGGCGACAGTGGAGGTGGTGGCGCTGGTAGTGGCTCACACGGGTAGACCAAGGTACCTGTAGGTGCGTACTTAATCGATGTCTTGTCCTTGCAGAGTCAGCGGTGTCTGACGCCGGAAGCGTGATATGAACTTGGTTTTAATGTGCGAGATGACTAGCCCGAGTGTTTGACAGGTCCGGGCGAACTTGGAGAGTATAGGTTGTTCATGTTGCACTGTAGTAATTTGGAGGAGAATACCATCAGCATAGCTTATGATGTGACCGTCTAGGGTGCGCTCAGCAAAGATGTCGTTGAGGCAGTAGATGGAGTTCATAAGAACATTAAAGAGTGTAGGACTGAGTACACCTCCCTGAGGCGTGCCAAGATCAAGGTCCTGATCATGGAGTAGTGGCCCTGAAAACGGACATGGCCCTGTCGATGGGAGAGGTAGTCAGCAATCCACGTGAGGAGTTTGCCCTTCACATCAATGTGCATGAGGCCCTCAAGGATCACTTCACTGTTGGCTTCATCAAAAGCACCCTTGAAGTCGACGAAGAGGGAGGCTTTGGCTGAGGTGTTCGCCATGTAGTGAGCAATACTCTTTCCGGGGTGGAAACCATAGAGGTCATGGTGCAGGTGGGCTTCAATTTTCCAGTGGAGGCGGTGGTGTATCATGTGCTCCATCATCTTTGAGAAGCAGGAGATGAGGGAGATTGGACGATATTCATCTTGTCTGCCTGGTTTAGGGACTGGGGTGGTGGTGGCAGTCTTCCATAAGTGAAGCAGCTGTCCAGTATCAAAAGAGAGGTTAAATCGACAGAGGAGGGGGTTACCAGAGGTAGCAATAAAGGCATTTAGCACATCATATGTGACGCCGTCATCGCCAGGGGCAGTGGACCAACTTTGCATTTGACAGCATTTAGTAGTTCACACTGTGTGAAAGGCACGTCAATGTCTGCAGATAGGTCTTGGTACTCGGAGATGTGCTGTCGGCGTTGTGGTTGCAATGCGAGGGTGAGGTCTCGTACAGGGGGTGGTAGCACATCGATGGAGGCGGCCTCCTGCCACGTCTGGGAGAGCGCCTCGGCTCGGGCAGCTGGTCTGGGGTGGAGCGAGTGTCTGGCGTTGTTGCCCTGGGCACGGTTAATGGTGCCCCATATATCACCTATAGATGTAGACTGGTCATTAGAAGAAGTAAATCAAACCACTGCTTCTCTCGTGCGAGAGTGATGGCAGATTGGACCTCTTTATTTGTACGCATCAGGAAGCATAGAGCGTCAGGGGAGCTTGGAGATTTCTTGTACTGGTCGACTGCTAGTCAATGCCATACTCGGATAGACTTAACATGAGGTCGCGGTTAACATTCCACTGACTCCTGGGCTGGCAGTTAGGGCGGCGGTGTTTTGGGTCAGAGCGGAGGAGGTCAGTGCATTGTTTGGACAGATCAAGGTAGAGTTGGTCTGTGGTGGTGACAGTGTAACCCTGAAACTGTGGGAGAGACTCAGGTGATCCTTATAATCAGGGGAGAAGGAAACACACTGATGTCAAGTTCGTAAGTTCTATTTCTGGGACAAACACACAAAAGGAGTTAAGACAGGGGAAACAGCGTCCTGTCTTGGAATCTCTCCGGGTATCTCTATCTGCGCATGCGCGTACAGCGCGCATGTGCTCAAAGTCTGAACTAACACAGTGACAAAAGGGAGTATGATTATAACATATAATACAGAGACCTGAATCAATAATGGTAAATAGTACAGTTACATATTACAGCAATATTCGTCTCATATATCTACACCTCCCTCCCCCCTCACGCTCGTAGTGCAATCTCGAGCGGACTCTTTTTCCAGGAGCCTTTGAGAGTGACGTGGGAAAACTGGGGGTTCACTGAATGAGGACTTACTTTTCTCGTCCAAGCAAGGGTTCACAGGGATATGGGGGAGGGGTTCACCACTAGGGGACGGTACTGAACGAAGGAAGCGGCGATTCCGCCACCATACCCGACCACTAGGGAGACGGACCTCGTAATCCCTGGTCTTGCCGCAGCCCATGACAACCCCGACCTTGTCCCAGCGGTGAGGCGTCGGGTCTTGAACCCGAACTGTTTGCCCGATACTCAATCTGGGAAGGGGCCGGGCGTGCTGATCGTACTGTGCCTTTACCTGGTCAGCACGGGCGGCTGCACGACGATCGCAGTCCTCGGTCTTGGCCTGCCACTCCCTCGAGAAGGACTCAGGATGGGCAGGGACACATGACCGTAGTGGGTGGCCGTATAACATCTGTGCTGGGGAGCGACCTGTGAAGTTGGGGGTATTCCGCAATTCCAATAAACCCCGGTCAAACTTCTCGCAGTCAATGTTGCCTGAGGGTGCCGTCTTGAGGATAAGATGCTTGACGGACTTTACGGCAGCCTCGGCATGTCCATTGGACTGGGGATAATGTGACGAGGACACCACATGATAAACTCCCCATCGCTCCATGCAGTCCCGGAAGTCGTTGCTGGTGAACTGGGGCCCGCCGTCAGTCCTCAGGCGGAGAGGTACACCAACTTCCCGGAAGTAGCGACAGAACATACGTACTGTATGAGAGGCAGTAGTGTTGCCTCCGCAGGGAACGACAACAGGCCACCCTGAGAGCCGGTCCGCAGAGACGGACTCAAAGGGCCTCGTAGGGTTATCGTTGTTCAGGAGGGGTTCCTGCTGCTGACTAGGCTGCAGCACCTGGCATGGCTCGCAGGCTTGAACGGAACTAGCGATGTCGGAGTCGATGCCTGGCCAAAAAACAGCTTGTCTCGCCCGGCGCTTCGTAGCTTCCACACCCCTGTGGCTGTCGTGCAGGTGGGCTAGGGTGCGGCGGTGGAGGGCGGCAGGAACCACAACTCTTGCTCCATACAAGACGAGGTCGCCATCAGCATAGAGGTCGTCCCGCATCTTCCAGTATGGGAGTAAAGAGCTGTGTAAATCGTACCGGTTGGAAGGAAATCCCGAGGTCACGCAGTTCAGTAGACGGATGTACGAAGGGTCCGCTCTTGCCGCGGCTCGGAGTTCCTGAA